CCTAAACCCTAATCCCCAAACCACCAGCAGCGCTTAGCCAGCTGACCAGCTGTCGCAGACCACCCCAAACATATGGAAAATACGGGTTGGGGTTGAGTCAGGGTTGAGGGTTTTGGGATCAAATCATAAGGGTTATACTACTTCGGGGCATGTTCGTAGGGGTGGTCGTTTTGTGGGACATGACGGAACGGGGTAATACAGGCTAGGGAGTAGGAGCGCAGAATGGGAGCAGCGAAGCATGCATGTGGGTAGTTCTCTAGGTCAGGGTCCCTCTTGGGGGGTCCTCTTTTGAAAGGATGCTGCGCTGTAGCATATACATATACATATACACATAAATATAAATATATATATACATATATATGTATAAATAGGGGACCCCCAAGCCACATCCCTAATTTAGACAAGCTTCCCATGTTGAGTTCGTAGCTGGTGGTGGCTTTCCGCTATGGGTTTCGGCGTTCAGCTCAGGGTCGGGGGAGTGAGTCTTCAGGAAGCAACCCTAAGCCCTAAACCCTAAACCTAAACCCTAAACCCTAAACCCTAAACCCTAAACCCTAAACCCTAAACCCTAAACCCTACACTGGAAGCTGTTGCTAAGGAAAGGCACCTGAACTGTGAACCCCGAAGCCCTGTCAACCTAAGAGCCCCTAAGAGCCATAAGCAAGCTCTAAGCAAGCCCTAAACAGGCTTTAACAAGCCCTAAACCCTGGACCCTAAACCCTAAACCCTAAACCCTAAACCCTAAACCCTAAACCCTAAACCCTAAACCCTAAACCCTAAACCCTAAACAAGAACAGCCAGGTGAGCTCTCTCCCCAGCTGAGCGCCGTGCGGCGCTTCGGCCCAGCGCGCCGAAGTGCTGGCCTAGGCGGAGTTTTTTTCCCCCAGAGATGCGACGTGCACCTGAAGGGCCGTTTTGTACTTGAGTCAGGGTTTAAGGTTGGGACAGGGATTATCATAGGGGATACTATAATTCCCTATTAAGGCTTGTTAGTATCGGGGTTAGTATAAGGGAGAACATCTAATTCCCTATTAAGGCTTGTTAGTATAAGGGCGAACATCCGAAGTTTGGGTTCTTTAGGGCTTTGAGGTGAGGGGTGTCAGATGGCCCTTCAGTGCATGGACAGAGAGATTTGATGACGTTGAACCACCACTGGCGGACTAGCGAAACCCTAAACATTAAGCCCTACACCCTAAACATTAAGCCCTAAACCCTAAACATTGAGCCCTAAACCCTAATTCTGACGCTCCCCCCCTCCCCCCCTCCTCCGCCGGCTTAAGTTTGAACTGTTCCGCTACTTCGGGGTTTCCGAAACTAGAGGGACCCTTGTGGGGTCTTCTATCAGGATTATAGCAGTTTGGAGAAAAGTGTGGTTTCTGCATGCAGTGTACTGTATTTAACTATCTAGTATGTGCCCATACACCTACACGTACGCTTACGGCGTATGTCGACCTGTGAGCACATTGAAGTACACACATTAGTATGAATGTTTATGCTACCTCCACCCCGCCCTCCCGGTCTGCACCCCACCAGTCACCTTCCACTTTGGGGTTTTAGGGTTTAGGGTTTGATCTGCCGATGAGTCCAACCAATTAACATAGTGGCACCGTCGCCTGAACAATCGGAACATGTGCGTTTTGTCGCCCGTGTGTTTCCGCCAACTCAGAACTCAACTGGCCAGGGGAACAACGTCTCAAGTCCTCAACTTGTCTAGACCTCTCCCCTAAAATTTAACCCCCCCCCAACATGAAATATTCCTTTTATCGTCACTGATACTCTTATGAAAACAAAGAACACTTAATATTCGGAGGTCAGGGTCTCAACACGACCGGAAAAGTACTTATGATTCTGTGAGTCTAGTTTTTTGGCAATAGGATACCAGAACACCAACGGTATCATTCAGGTGCCTCCTCTCGAGCATTGTCATAGTTAGCATTTGCTTTTCCGATGCCTAGACGTAGTAGGTAGTGACAGTAGTAACAAGCATGCTCTGAAACACCCCATAAACCCTTTAAACACTGAACCAGTAACAAATGCTTCGCCAGTTGTAGCAACAAGCACGCATAGAGAAACAATAACCTGGTGGTCTCCCGAATTTCAGGTCTCGGGTTCTCTTGATTTTCGTCGTCGTCGTCGTAGTAGCAATAGTGGTAGCAGTAGACGTGGTAGCAATTAGATAAATCCTCAACTTTATTATAAACCCAAAGCCCTAAGCCGCCTACACCACGCCCCCATTCCCCGTCATCCGGATCCAAGACTCACCTCGCCGATGCCGCTGTCCGGTGCTTGCGATTTCTCTGTTTTTTTACTCGGGGCCCGATAGCTTGCAAGTTTGCGGTTTCACGTTGATGGACACAAGGCGCCCGCAACAGCGGTTGGATACGCATCCTCGCTGAACCCTGAATGTTAGCACATTCCAGTCAAGAAAAAGGAGCAGTGGCGGCTAGCGCGCTTGTTATCGACCATCGCCTAATTCGTGACGTGTCAGGCAGTGGGGCGTACGGCAAGAGCACCGAACTCTAGATATCCCCAAAGCATTCCTCAGAATCGGCTCAACCCTAAACCCTAAACCCCAAACCCTAAACCCTAAACCCTAAACCCTAAACCCTAAACGAAGAGCTCTTCCTGCACGACGTGCTGCCCCAGTAATTCGCAACACGTCACTGGGGTCCCCCGCCACGGGGTGGCAGTGCCTTGCTGGATTGCTGTAAGAGGGCCCTAAACCCGAAACCCTAAACCCTAAACCCGAAACCCTAAACCCAAACCCCAAACCCTAAACCCTAAACCCTAAACCCTAAACCCTAAACCCTAAACCCTAAACCCTAAACCCTAAACCCTAAACCCTAAACCCTAAACCCTAAACCCAAACCCTGAACCCTAGAACCCTAGAACCCTAAACCCTAGAACCCTAGAACCCTAAACCCTAAACCCTGAACTTATCGGGCTTCAGACCTCAAGCGCCGACACCGTGCCCTTCCCGCAAGATGGTTTTGAAGCTTAGGGATTGTAGGACCTTAGGGTTTAGGGTTTAGGGTTTAGGGTTTAGGGTTTACAGCCTCTCTTGAAGGGGAATAGTAAGACCCTCTAGAAGGATTCAGAAGGAAGCCCACGAACAGAGTCATTATTCAACCATGATGTGGCCGCTATTATTTTCTGGCGGTTCCCAGCCTTGCAATTTGGGCTGTTGGGCGTTGGGCGTAGGATTTGGGCGTGGCATGGCGCGGTAAAGCTTCCCCCCCCGCCCCCCCCCCCCCCCCCCCCCCCCCCCAAATCTGATTCTTAAGAACATGAAACCCAGAACCCTAAACCCTAAACCCTAAACCCTAAACCCTAAACCCTACATCTAAGACCCTCAGCCTTTCGAAGAATGACAAGATGAGAAACCCCCTCCAACGGCAACGCAGGATGGAGACTGCTGCAAGAAAAGGGCCGGTTTAGGGTTTAGGGTTTAGGGTTTAGGGTAACTCTTAAATTTTCAAGTCGGGTGTGAGACTTTAGGCTTTCGGAAGTTAACTTCTTTTAGGGTTTATAGGGTTTATAGGAGTGTATAGGGTTTATAGGATTTATAGGGTTTATAGGGTTTATAGGTTTATAGGGTTTAATTATAGGGTTTAGGGCTTAAGGTTCTTAGTCTTGAAGTTGGGAACTGAGAGCCCCCCCCCCCCCCCCCCCACAGGTTTACGGTTTTGGCCCGCGTACCTTTGTAGTATGTACACACTAGGGTTTAGGGTTTAGGTCTAGGATTTGTGTATACTTGGGCCTGCAGGGGGGGTTTATGCAGCCTGAGCAAAACGTAGGTGATGCCAAGTAGGGTCCTTTATGCTTACCCAGTATGTAGTACCTTGGTGGGCATTGTATATGTTCCCTTATTCGGTCTGTGAGGCTCCTATTGAGGATTAATTATTTTGTCGAAAAAAGAGTAAGAATCCCGACCTGGGTACCCTGGGCACACTCGTTAGGTTAGGGTTTTGGGGAAAATCCCACACCCCCAAAGCCCCAGACCCAGACGGGTGCAACTAGTTACTTCAGCTTCTTGAGGCATCCCTGCAAAACGCAAGTACCCTTAAGACCCCCCCCCCCCCCGGCCGCATTTATCTATCTCAAGCCGCCGAGCTCCTTTTGGAGAATCATGAGTAAGGGCTCGAACCTTATAAACCCTTAAACCCTTAGCCCGTTTAAGCCCTTAATGCCTTAGCCTTAAGCTCTTCTTGTCTTACACCCGTTTAAACCCTAAAGCCCTTACAACGTTCAACCTCGAAACCCTTAGACCCCTTAAACCCTACAACCCTAAAGCCCTTAAGCTCTTAAACGCCAAGATGCCAATACCCCCTAAACCCCCAAAACCCTAAAGCCCTTAAACCCCTAAAATCCCCATGTAGTGTACCCATGTCGTAAAAACATATTCGGGTTAGGCTTTGGGGTTCAGGGATTAAGGTTCAGGACATCTACTTGGGCCTTAGCTTCAGTCTACTACATGGGCACGTGGACCCCTAGGTCTTAGGCTATGCTCCGATGTCTTCGTGGGCTGTCAGGGCTGCTGCTCTCTAGCGCCCCCCCCCCCGCCCCCAGCTGCGTTGGCTGTGTGGGAAGCTCTTGAACCTTGCGGCTACATCTCTGCAACGCATGACGCCTAAGAAGTTCAGGTCATTGAAATACCCAGTTCACCTGGGCAATCCCTCGCTATTTAAAGCCCATGCCAAACGGGCTAGGTAGACGCACGCTCTGGGGCAGTATTGGGAGCCGTATTTCGACCAGCCTTTTTTTGTTGTTCGTACTAGGGAAGTCCGGAATTAGAGCTGCCTACGTAGTTCTTCCTGCATACCGTGTTTTGGATTTTATGGGATTGCCTCGTTCCCTGGTTCTTTGCTAACCCTAAACCCTAAACCCTAAACCCTAAACCCTAAATCCTAAACCCTAAACCCTAAACACATTCAAGTAGGGGCCCCCCCATGTTCTAAGTAGGGCCATAAGACCACCGAGAGCCTGCACGAAGCTGCGGAATGGCGCTGGGCTCCGAGTGGAGTGGAGGCCAGATGGGAGGGGTTTAGGGTTTAGGGTTTAGGGTTTGGGGTTTGGGGTTTAGGGTTTCGGGGCTTCAGGGCTTAGGGAGCTTCAGGGGGTCTTAGGGAGACTTCGGCCTTGCTTTCCTCCGGCCTTCGAAGTTCAGGGTTTCGAAAACCCGAAACCCCGAACCCCTCAGGGTTTAGGAGGGCTTGGGGAGTTCGAGGGTTCTTCAGTAGATCTAAGCCCTAAACCCTAAACCCCAAACCCTAAACCCCAAATCCCAAACCCTAACCCTAATTGCACACCCCGACTCGGACCTCATAGGTGTTCACGTTTTGGGGGGTTCTATTCTAGGAGTCCCTTACTAGCGTTAACCCAAGTTTTGGGTCTATGGGGTTTGTTAGGGTATAAGGTTGAGGGTTTAGGGTTTAGTGTTTAGGGTTAGGTTTTTGGGTTGAGTTTAGGTTCCATTTAGGGTTCATATTAGCAGATAGCGAACCGTGAAATATCGAAGACCGGCATATTTGCTTCGGTGCTCAAGCAGGATGCCATGGGGACCATCAAGCTGCTGCCTGCGCCCACAACTGAATAGTCTCGCGGCAGCTGCATCCAATTCATCGTTTTTGTCTACTGCTGGCGTGATTTACAAGCTGGTGATGGCTGTGATTTGCCAGACGGATCGCATGATCATTCGTGTGCTGGACCCCGACAGCGCGGAGGACGTGGCACTGATCTACGAACTGCTGAACAGCGAACCATGGAGGGAGAATATCGCACACATGCCGCACGTCACGGACATCGCCAGCGCGCGGAAGTACATCCTCGACCGCCCGCTGAAGATGTGGGAGGAGTCGAAGACCGGCATGTTTGCGATGGTGCTCAAGCCGGATGCCACGGGGACCATAAAGCAGCTGCCTTCTCCCCGCTGTGAGATGGCTCGCGGCGACCATGTCCCAGTCGTTCCCGTCGGGGTGTGTGGCCTGATCAAGCGCGCCGAGCTTGACTTTGTGGAAGATCTCGGGTTCGCGCTTCTCCCGCAGTTCCATGGACTCGGTCTGGCGCTCGAGGGCTGCCGCGGAATTCTCGACTGGGCCCGGGAGGTCAAGAAACTTCCACATGTCCTCGCCATCACTCGCTGCGCCAACGACTCTGCTGTCAAGCTGCTGGAAAAGCTTCAGTTCACTACAAACATGGACGAGAAGCCGGTGATGTTCGACCACCCTCACTTCGTCTATCGTCTTGAGCTTGGTCCGAGCAAAGGTGGCCCCTAAACCCTAAACCCTAAACCCTATAAACCTTAAACCCCCAATCCCTGGAGCCTCGTGAAGATCGTGGCGGGCTTCACCATCGTTGTGACTCCGTATCTATGTACTCTCACCTTTGTGTGGGGTTGTGCTTCTGCGTGAGCCGTAGGTATGTCAATGTGCCCGCGAGATATCCGAAGCCCCAAGCCCGAAGAATCCTAGACTCACGAGCTCTTGTTCAACCCGACTCCTTTCATAAGACCCACAAATCCCAAACTCTGAGCCCCCAGCTGCGTGTTCAGGGTTTGGAGTTTGGGGTTTACTTACCCTTAATTAGGCTCAACATAGCCTATAGGAAGGCCTTTCGGCCCGAAACCCTGAAACACGAGTCCTCAGGGTCTTACTTGGAGGTTCAGGGTACTTATTAACCCAATTCTAGCTGTACTTGTAACTCGTAGCCAAATGATAACCGCATCAGGGCACTTCGGGGGCTCATAAGTAGGTCATAAGTACAGGGACAATTGGTGAGTAATTACCATGAACCTCTCGCGGTTTTAGTCGAGGGTTTCGGGTGGGCTCAGTCTAACACCTTGCTCAAGCCCTGAGCCCTATGCTCTACTTGGTAGCCCATACCCGTTTCCCTTTTTTGTTCAAGGTTGCCCTATAAAATAGCCAGCCCCAAAAAGGGCCCTTGTTATAGTATGGTTACTGGGCTACCAAGTCTAATGTTTCTAAACACCAGATGGCTGAATTCATTCTTGACGCCGTAAGAGATGGATTTAGGGAACTGGGCGTGTGCGTGGCCGAGGATGTAGAGTTTGGGACTTAGGATCCTTAACAAAGCCCAGCACTAGCAGGGACACAGGCTTGCGATGAGGCAACTCCCACAAGACCGAAACTGTAGGCCCTAAAGCCTAAACCCTGAACCTTGAACCCTAAACACCTCAACCCTTAGCAAAAACGTACCGAAATCCGGAAGAGTGCGCCATGCCTCCGAAACCTGCATAGGCTCGTCGCCCGCGCGAAAGTGGCCAGGACCCTCAGACATGGGTTTTAGGGTTTAGGGTTTAAGGTTTAGGATTTAGGGTTTAAGGTTTAGGGTTTAGGGTTTAAGGTTTAGGGTTTAAGGTTTAGGGTTTTGGGATACCCCAAACCTACGGGCTGAGCCTACAGCGCCCTCTGGAAGGAGTCCTTCAGGGTTTTCAAAGGCTTTCAATGGCAAGGCTTGAGAGGCCCTACGCCTCTAGGAACCCTCAAAGGCCTTCCGGGGGTCTCCAAAGGCCTCAAATGCGCACTTTTCACGACCTAATTTTGGTCAAGGTGGGGTCGTATGTTTCATTTGTTAAGGCAAATGGTCTTCGGAGCCTCCCCCCCCTCCCCCCTAATTAGAAAGATTGCCTCCGGCGAGGGCCCATTTTCGAGGGACCTGCCAAAGTTCTTAGAAACCCGACGAGGGGCTTCGGATCACCCGAATGCCAATAGCCTGTGCCACTTTCAACAAGAATGATATACATGAGCACGACCAGAAAGCAAGGAAGCCCTAACTAAACCTGCAAAGATCAAGACGAGGGTGGATCGCAAGCGGCTCAATGAAACACCCCTACACCCTAAAACGCAAAAGCCCTAAACCCTAAACCCCTAAACCCTAAACCCTAAAACCCTAACCCCCCCGAAATCCCCTAAACCTTAAAACCCCAAAACCCTCAGCCCTAAACGCTCACTGAAGGCCCTCCCAACGCCCTGAGAAGCTAGGACCCGGAGTAGGCCCTTATTTCCTTTTTTTTGGGTTGGGGTTCCCTTATACTCCAAACCTTAAGCCCTATACCCTAAACCCTAAGCCTCAACACCTAAGGAGCCCCGAAATAACCCTAAACCCTAAACCCAAAGAACTCCTAAGGTCCCTTATAAGGGTCCCTCCTTTAGTCCCTTAAGTTCAGGTGGGGTCCGCTGGATGGTCCAAAGCCTGGTCCGGCTCCTGAGGGCTTCGAAAAATGATAGAGGATAGGGTCTAGGGTTTAGGATTTTTAGGGTTTAGGGTTTAGGGCTCAGGGCTTAGGGCTTAGGGCTTAGGGCTTAGAGCTTAGGGCTTAGGGTTTAGGGTTTAGGGCTTGGCTCCCGAAGAGTTTCGACCGAAAGTTATGATCGAGCTTTGACCGACTCGTTTTTGTTTTAGAGTTTAGCTTCGCTTGTTTTTTTCCACATGTTTTGTGGGAGGCTGCCTTCTTGGGAGCCTCCTGGTTTTTGCAGTATATTTCTCAAGGCGTGGCTTGGAAGGTAGGGTTTTGGAGCCAAGTCCTACGGGGCCCGGTGCTCAGAATTTGGGGGTGAAGGTGGAAGCTTTTGGAGGCCAACACCCAAACCCTGCACTTACATGACCTGCCGTTGTAGGGCTTAGAACCCACGCCCGCCCAGCCGGTGAACCGATCTATTGCCCTTATGCAAACATACCCCCCAAACCCTAAACCCTAAACCCTACCCTAAACCCTCACCCTTACTGAAACGGAAGCCCCAAGCCCCGCACGTTATCAACCCTGTAAGCTCTTAAAGCGTCAACCTCGGGTTGCTATTGGGAAGGCTCCTAAGAGGGACTGAGACCCCAAAAAGGGACCTATCTATAGTCAGCAGCTACTTTGGGGGCCCAGGTCTTCCCTATGAGGGTCTACCGTCTACCTGTTTTAGGGTTTAGGGTTTAGGGTTGAAACCCTAAACCCTAAACCCTAAACCCTAAACCCTAAACCCTAAACCCTAAACCACCCTCTCAACTTTGCGGCCCTCAGTCTAAACCCTAAACGCATCCCTAAACCCGCAACCTACTTGTTCTCAGTAGGGAAGGAGGGGCTTCGGTACCCTATGTGCAATCCCTTAAACGGTATATGTAGGGGGATAGGGTCTTCCCTCATGCAAAACCCTAAACCCTAAAGCCTAAACTCTAAACCCTAAGAACCAGCAAGTTAACCTCAGACTCAGAACCCTAAACCCTAAACCCTAAACCCTACACCCTAGCCTAAACCCCAAAGCCTAAACTCTAAACCTAAGAACCAGCAAGTTAACCTCAGACTCAGACCTACCGAGCGCCGGGACAGCACCCAGCGGGTGGCAGGAGGCGGGGGCGTCTTGGGTGCTAGGGTTCAAGGTTAGGGTTTAGGGTTTAGGGTTTAGGGTTTAGGGTTTAGGGTTTAGGGTTTAGTGTTTAAGAGGTGAAGGGTTGAGCCAGGGTTTGTTGTGGACCCAGGAAGGAGCAATGAGTGTATCTACACCGGATTCGACCCGAAACCCAAAACCCTAGACCCTAAACCCTCAACACTCAACCCTAAGCCATGACGAAGGACCCCCACTGCCCGGTTTGAGGTTGCGATGCTGATTGCCTGCTTGCTATACGGGGGTCCGAAAACTAGGAGTACCCTTTTAAAAGGGGTACCTTATTTTTCGCGAAAAAAGAACCTTAACCCTAAACCCTAAACCCTAAACCCTAAACCCTAAACCCCAAACCCCAAACCCTAAACCCTAAACCCTATTTTTTTAACGACCATGCCTCGGCACGCCTGCGCCTTGCGCCTATACGGTGCAGAGCAGCCACTTTTGGGTTTTAGGGTTTAGGGTTCATGGGTCTAGGAAGTTGAGGGTTGCGGGGTTTAGGTTTTCGGGTTTGGGAAGTCTGGGGTTTGGGGTTTAGGGTTTAAAAAAGTTGAGGGCTTGTGCCTGCGGATCCGTGGGTTTTTTTAGCAGGGATGTAGGGCCTGTAGGCAGTTAGGGGCATCAGCGGCTGTCGTAAAGATCCTTCAGGATTCAGGGCCGACACCTGGTTTCGACTGGTGGGGTCCAACACCTGGTTTCGACTCTTGAGGATTCTAGCACTTTGGTCAGGGTTTAGGGTTTAGGGGTTTAGGGTTTAGGGGTTTAGGGTTTAGGGTTTAGGGTCTTTGGCACGAGATCTAAAGTATTGAGGCGTGTTTGGGGTTTAGGGTTCAGGGTTGCGTAATCTAGGAACCCTGAACCCTAAACCCTAAACCCTAAACCCTATAGATTGAGGTTTAGGCGAAGTTTTTACGCCTGAAACTGAATGCGCCCCATCAACACCCTGTCACCCTGCACCTCCGATCCGTGGCCTTAAATTCAAGGGCGGGGGATTTAGGGTTTAGGGTTTAGGAATAATTACTAATGGTCTTCCCTTAGGGTCCTTTTATACTTATACTAGAAGAACACCCCAAACCCCCCATTCTAATTCTTCAGGCCTGTAAATTTCGTGTCTACCGATACCTTTCACGCCTAAATCTTAACCCACTGATCCGCCGTTGGCCTAAGCACCACCCGTTTGATAGGGGAAGCTACCCTATAGGCCCTCATGAGGTCATGTACGCGACTCGTGACCGGGCATCTAGCAGGCAGCACGTTCAAGTTGCAATACCTCATCTTCGTCTGATTTAAAAGCGCGCAGTTGCCGTGACAAGCTCGCACGACGCCTTGAACCTCAAGACCCTGTACTTGGAGGTTCATGGTGCTTATTGACCCAATAATAACTGTACTTATGACCCAAGTATAACCATATTCGGGCACTTAAGCCTTAAGTGCCCCCTTAAAGGGGGTCATAAATGGGGTAGAAGTACAGTTATAACGGGTTAATAAGTACCCTGAACCTTCAAGTAACCCTGCATCGTGCCCGCACCCACGACTTCACATGTCATGCCCAGCTCTTGCACCAGCCCTGGGCAAAGCAGCAGCCGCTGCTGTTGTTGCTGCTGCTGCTTCGAAAATGCCTTTAGCGCACGGGTGCAGAAGTGGGAGCGTGAGATAGCGCAGGCTTGAGAGAGTTCGGGTGCAGCATTTCAGCATAACTTTCTAAGCTCATGGCACCGCAGCTGCCGGATTTATTGTTGCAAGGACGTTCTCCCCCCTGCGTGCTTGTTTCAAGCGCAGCCGCGGTCCCTTCAGGCCCCCCCTTGAAGGCGCTGGCCTGCAATTGATGTTAAAGGCGTGCCGCAGGAAATATTCCGCGGTTTAGGGTTTAGGGTTTAGTTTGACTATACATAACGGATCCAGCAAAAAAGGCCTGAGCTCTTTGTGTCTCCCTACTCCGTGACATATCTCGACAGGATCCCCTGAATCCCCTGCATGCGGCTTTTGAAGACCTGTGCTTGGTACTGCTTGCAACCCAGATTCTTTCAATGAGGCATCAAAAGGTTGTCGCGGTGGGCCCTTACACCGGGCCATACTAGATGTAAGGTCTCTATGCTGAGTGTATAGGATTTTGAGCACAAAAAATCAGAGTTCTATTCGCCTCCCGCAACAGGAGCGGAAGATTGATCCTCAGGAGGCGCCCATGCTGCTGTTTAAAGTTCGCGCGTTGGGTTTTGCGCATTGTCGGCTTCAGGATTGTGTATGTTTACGAGGTCATTGCATGGAACTTGCAGACTTGGATCCTGGACCACTTCGTTACCCACAAGTATTGGTAGCAGCATGCGCATCCTAAATTTAGGTTTCGCAAATTACTGGGCGCTGTGAAGGCAACGTCGTTAAGTTCGTATCGAGCCGCACATACTCATGAGCCTTAAAAGGCATGAAGGCGTCATGGGACCCAGCAACCAGGATGTGTCCCCTGTCGAATGTCCCTAAACCCTATAAACCTTTAAACCCGAAACCCTGAACCCCAAGCCCTAAAGCCAACCAAGTGGAGTCCAGGAGCAGTTGGCCATCGCCGCCAAAAACGAGGCCTCCGGGGTCTACACTCCCCTTGAAGGTTCCGGGTACAGCAACTGTACTTTTAACCCACTTACAAGCCCCTTAAGTGCCCTTATAAGGTTATAATTGGGTTGTAAGTACAGTTATTCATCATAGGGTTCATAAGTACCCGGAACCTCCATGCGAGACAGAGCTTCGCAAGACACTCTTCGTAGGGAATGAGGAACTTGGTAGGCCAGTGGTACCCTTTACCTTTTTTGGGTTCTGCGTTGCCTTATCAAGTAACCAACCAACGAAAAAAGGGTACGCTTGTTATAAGATGGTGGCTGGGCTACCAAGTGAAATTCGGGCCGCATATATACCCTTTAAACAAGCACATAGGGTAACTCATTTGCCAGCCAGAACAGGCACAGGGGGTCCGTGGGGGCCCCTGGTTTAGGGGCCCTTCTCCCTTGTTGTCTGGCGTTAAGTTCGATCCGCTGAGCCCCCAATAACTGGTTCAAAAATGTGGGTGGGCCTGGGGATAGCCTGGGCTGTTGATTTGCCGAAGACGAAGTTTAAGTGGATACTCTCGCCGAAGACGAAGTTTCAGTGGATACTCTTTAGGAGTATCTTTCAGAGGACTCAAGGACCAACCTGGAACGAGTGTTTCTTTCCATGCCATTCTTTGATACCCAGGCCCGAGAGGCAGGACAGTCAAGAAGAAAATGCCCACGGTGCCCAAAACCCCAATTAAAACTTAACCCTAACCCCCAAACCCAAATTAAAACCTAACCCTTAACCCTAATCAAAACTGAACCCTCAAAACCCGAAACCCCTAATGCTTATATACCCCCCTTTTAAACCCTTAGGAGTGAGGGATGCCTGGGGGCTGTGTAGTTAACCTTTGACCTCTATTGGTTATGTAGAATCCTACCATACATGAAAACTTATATATACATATATATATATATACATATATAAGGAGAGCCATTTCAGCCCCACTCTGAACCCCAAGCCGTGAAGGCGGCGCAGCTTCGGCGGAAACTGAATCCCGGCTGCGGTACGGTGTCTCTACCCTCAAGTGGGGGGTTTCCGACCATCGGGGTAACCCTGAGTTTAGGGTTTAGGCGGGTTGGGGGCTACCCTTTTGGGGGGTTCCAGTTCCTATAGTAAGGATTCTACTATCTTAGTGCGTACTTAGGGTACCTCTAGTGGTGTCGCTACCTTCAAGTCGGTGCGGGAGGTTTAGATCTGTACAGCGCCTTAGGGTTTTGGGTTTAGGGCTTCGGCTTTTTTAAGGTTTACGGTTAAAGAGGTTGAGGGTATTAGGGTTTATTTAGAAGGTTTAGAGCTCAGGGTTTAGGATTTGAGTCGGGTTTAGGGTTTTACCCAATAGTGAAGACCCCCCCCAAAATGGGCCCCGATGAGAACAGCCTCCTATGTAGGGTTGCGGGTTCTGGGCCAGTTCATGGCAAGACCCCTTCTCAAAGGGGGTCCCAGTGATATTCTATGATTCTTCTTCAAGGGTTTAGGGTTCAGGGTTTAGGATTAAAGGCTATTGTAGGGTTACTACAAGGATATACGAGGCTGGGTATGATTCGGATTTGGGGTTCGAACTGTTAGGAGTTTTCTTCCGCAAACACTGTGCCAAAAGAAGCTTTTGGACATGTGGGAGCGCCCCAAATGCAAAACTGTCGCCGCTTTGTGAACGTCTGGGCTCGCGGTTTAGGGTTTAGGGTTTAGGGTTTAGGGTTCAGGGTTCAAGGGTTAGGGTTTAGGGTCACATTATGGCCTCTCACTGTTTCGAGTCGACGCTGGCATCACATCGCTAGTTCTCTAAATCAGGGCCCTTTTAATGTGACGTCCTTATTCTAAGGGTGCCGTGCTATACAGGGTTTAGGGTTTAGGGTTTAGGGTTTAGGGTTTAGGGTTTAGGGTTTAGGGTTTAGGGTTTAGGGTTTAGGGTTTAGGGTTTAGGGTTTAGGGGGGGTACCCGACCCTAATTTGGAGAGCTACCCCACACGAATGCTTGGTTTTCGCTGGTTGTAGAAGGCACGGACACCGCAGCATCCAACAACGAAGGGTCACAATCCTACCTGGAGGGTTCAGGGTACTTATCAACCCAATACTAATTGCACCTATAGCCCAATACTAATCGTACCTATAACCCAATACTAATTGTACCTATAACCCAATTGCAACCATATCAGGGCACTTAAACATCCTAAGTCTCAGGAAGTCCCTCCGAGCGGAGATTGCAAAGCGGAACGCCCCGGCCCCTGATGGGCGTGTTGGACGCCTAGAATGCCTACCGTAGATTCATCTGGCAAAGGTAAATGGTACCTGGACCATCAACTTGCAATTCCTTCTTATATATGCCCTTTCGTTAGGAACTAGAATCAGAAACTTAGGGTTCCTCAAAAACAGACTACCATTGGGGCTTAGGTAGAACTCGATGGTGTGTCAGCGCTGTCTTGGCAAAATGTCGCCTTAAAAAAGAAGGCCCACAGCCTTCATGCCAACCAGACTTTCCGTGATACAGATATCGCATGGAGTCCTGAATGAGGTCTTGGTATGCCTGTTCTAGGTTCCCTTATCAAGAAACCAACCCCAAAAAGGGTACCCTGATTATGATTTGATTGCTGACCTACCAAGAGCCCGATGCTTGAAGCACTGGAGCTCCCTCTTGCCGAACTACCCCCAGCAGGTGTCCCCCTAAACCCTAAACCCGAAACCCTAAACCCTAAACCCTTTAGGGGGCCCAAGGTAGAGTCCCTTGATCAACCTCCCCAAACCCAATCCTTACACAGCCCCCCGAGGGCCTTGTGTGTGGCAGGTTTTCCAAATTGACGTCCCTTTTTGCGTGTTCCACTTTTTAGTCGCACGGAGCCTTATTCTAGTTTGCGTACGCAATAAAGGATCCATGGTTGGCCAAACGCTGGTGTGTTCCTAGGCAGCTCTTGAACTGCTTCCTGGTGGAAGCCTGCCGGCGCCCCAGCATCCTCACCCCCTGCGTTTGTTTTTTGCGAGCAATCATGCCAGCACATCCCAATATTGCCTCCTTGCCACCCTAAACCCTAAACCCTAAACCCTAAACCCTAAACCCTAAACCCTAAACCCTAAACCCTAAACCCTAAACCCTAAACCCAAAGGACTCCCAGTCTCATCCTGAGCCCCAAACCTCGGCCTCCCATGTTTCATGAGGCATCCTTACCCTGTCCAAATTTCCACGAAATTGGAGTTTTTCGAGGTTGAGGGTTTAGGGTTTAGGGTTCAAGGCAGCTTCTACTAGGTACTACCCCGACTTAGGATATGCCCATGATTCGATCAATTTTTCTTCGGCCTGACGTGAAGCACGGGCGACTTTTGGCCGTTCAACTTAAACTGAAACCCTGCGCGTCACGGTGCAAGCGAGTCTCAGTTAGATGAAGGACCACGAGCATGCAAGAATGTGGATGGCGCAACTTTATTCGATCCTGAGCGGCTTGCCGAGACACTGGTATGTGCTTATTTTAACGTAGCATAATACAATACGTGGAAAATATTACATACTATAGCATAACATGATATAATGCAATATAGTCATAATAAACTAGTACAAACAATAATAGTGCTGACGACAATACTACTAATAGTAGTAGTAAGAATAATGATAATAGCAATAGTAAAAATAGTAACAGCAATAGTAGTAATAACACACATATATGTAAATATGTATATATATATATATATATACATTTTGACTAATAAGCTGCTACATCCGTCAATAAAGACGGGAGTAGTCTAGGTAGGACCTTGGAACAGTTTTCTATTGTCCCCTTCTCAGGTTCCAGAGGCTCCTCGGGTCCAGGGTAGTAGTGGTTTAGGTTTCAAGGGTTAGAGGGTTTAGGGTTAGAGGGTTAAAAAAGGGTTCAAGGGTTTCGCTTCGGGGTGAAACGGCGCCTGGGCACTCTCATGCAATGTGTTTAGGGTTTAGGGTTTAGGGTTTAGGGTTTAGGGACTGAATCCTCCGGCAGGCTTGGGGCCGACCAGCTCCTTCGCGGCTTTCGACAGGCTCCCGGTCCAGGTTTTTTTTTGGCTTGTCTTGCGTTCTGGGTTCTTACCGACATGGGTTTAGGGTTTAGGGTTTAGGGTTTAGGGGTTTAGGGTTGGGGCAGGGGGGAGGCGGGGGGGGGGTTCGAAGATTTAGGTAATGAGCTGGGTCCTTTCGTCGTCTCTGTGAAGGGCTCCAAGGGGGGATATAAGCATCTCTCTCTCTGTTAAGAAGTAGTGTTGGTCCTGCATGAATTAAAATCTGTACCTTTTCGCTAGGATCCTAGTTTAGAAGCACTTCCTAAAGTAGGGCTCCTTTTTTGTAGGGTGGGGGGTGGAGGCCTGGGGGGCGGTTACCCATTATACTACGCGGCCTTGTACTTAGGGTAACCCTAAAACAGACAAAAGCAATGGGCTTAGGATTCTACAGTATTGAGTGTGAAGTTTAGCGTTCAGGTGTTCAGGGGTTCAGGGGCTTGGGGTTGAGCAGTTTAGGAGTTTAGAGTTTCGGGTTTGGGGTTGAGTAGACAAGGGCTCCGGATACCAATAAGTCTGTCGACACAGCAGCGCAACAGGACATGATGCCTGATGTATTACTATTGTTTGCACCTCCGAGAAACCACCAATTCTGCAGAGTGGAAGTTGTATGAAAAGTTCGACGTAGTTCCAAACGTTGCAGACCGGTGAACGTAGAGTACCATTGCCACCACCACCCATGCGAGTTTGCAGGGTATAAGGACCACATGCCCCTGTAGGGTTCATTTCGGGTAGGGTTTAGAGTTCGTTTGGTCCTAAGATAGGATCCGAAAGGTGTCGCTGCGGAGTTTTTGGGAGTTGGTCCGAGAGGGCAACTCTGAGGCCGGAGCCCGAACATTTGTGAATGTTGCGTTTTTGGGGAGCTTTGGTTGGGAGGGGAGGTTGGAGTTTGAGCCTTAAAACCCCGAAACCCCAAGCCTTACCAACCCAAAGCCCTACCCAAGCCCTAAACCCTAAGGAGGTTTTGGGTGCTATTTAAGTGTTTGCATTGTTTGGGGTTTCTCGGTTTTTCGAGTCTGAGGCGTGATATAGGGTCACTAAGGGAGGGGGTTCGTGGGGGGCTAGGTACCTAGGGAAGCTTCGGGAGCCTTAGGGAGTAGCGGGGAGTAGTAGGGAACCTTGGGTTACCCTAAACCCGACACCCTAAACCCTAAACCCTAAACCCCCCTTGAACCTATGGGCTTGGTTAGGTTTCTCACCCAGCTATTCTCCTGGACCAGGACTCCTGTACTCCTCGCCCAGTCCTCTGTGGTTCAAGTTGGGTTTAGGGTTTACCCTATAGTACGTAGAGCCTAGGGGGGGGGGTGTCCCTACCTCCCTAAACCCAGACGCTGGACCGCCCCAAGGCTTGGGTTTAGAGATTTTTGTGAGTTGGGGTTTGGGTTTTAGAGGTATTTAAGGTTGAGAATTTAGAGGTGAGCAGTTCGGATTTTTTGGGCTTGCTTGGAGGTTGACGTGGGCGCCGTGTTTTTTTCAGGGTTACCGAGGGGTTTGCAGGGTTTCTTGGAAGGTTCAGCCCGAAAAACCTAAACCCCAAACCCCAAACCCTAAACCCTAAACCCTAAACCCAGGCTTTCTGGGGCTCATAGGGCGTAGGTCCCGGCCCTAAGCCCCTAAACCCTCACGCGGGGCCAGAACAGCATTCAGGGTTGCAGAAGGGGAGCCCTTTTCAGCTTGCTGTGGAAGCATACGTATTTAAGGCTTAGAGCTTTCCAGGTTTGAGGCATCCCTCGATGGGTTTAGGGTTTAGAGTTTAGGGTTTAGGGTTTAGGGTTTATTGTCGACCTCAGGCACTTAGACAAGACGACGGCTTCGTGCAATGCGTGGGCAAGAGCTGCTTTCAAGGCAGATCGCCAAAGGGAGCTCATTGGGCATAGGGTGTGCTCTCAGGTCTTGTGTCATGTGCACTGCGCCTTGGAATCCCGACATCCTCAACCCAGTCACTACCATACCCTGTAACCTATACCCTGGGTTTCGGGTTCAGGGTTTAGGCTTTAGGTTTCAGGGTTCAGGGTTTAGGGTTTAAGGGGCTAGGGTTTAGGGTCTAGTGATTAGGGTTTTGGGTTTAGGGTTTCGGGTTTGGGGTCCGAACCCTGAAGCCTGAACCCTCACTTTGTGTCTTCTTCGTTTACTCTGGATGCTAGGCAGATCTGATTGCAGGGTCCTTGGTACCTAGGGAAGTAGGGAGTCCAAAAGAGTAGTGGGGAGTAGTAGGGAATCTTGGGTTACATGGCCTCCGTGAACCCCCCCTAAACCCTAAACCCTAAACCCTAAACCCTAAACCCTAAACCCTAAACCCTAAACCCTAAACCCTAAACCCTAAACCCTAAACCCTAAACCCTAAACCCTAAACCCTAAACCCTAAACCCTAAACCCTAAACCCTAAACCCTAAACCCTAAACCCTAAACCCTAAACCCTAAACCCTAAACCCTAAACCCTAAACCCTAAACCCTAAACCCTAAACCCTAAACCCTAGCCCTAAACCCTAAACCCTAAACCCTAAACCCTGAGGACCTTATCATCTTAGAGCTGCCTTTGCTAGGCCAAGATGCCCATGTGTGCAGAACTGAGTCGGCTGTCTTCCGTGCTTTCTTCTGGGTTCAGGGTTTTCGGGGTGTAGGGCTTCAGGATTTACAGGGCTTTGGGCTACAAATGTTGCCCTTCGCCACTCTCCTCACCCCAGCAGTCCCATTGATGTAGACACAGCTCCACGTAAAGCTCAAGCCTTAAGCCTTGTACTTCTTGGGGTTTGGGGTTTTGGGTAAGCCCTGAAACTCTCAGATCTGAAGCCCTTACCAATAGTCAACCCTTTTCACAACACGCGCAGTCCAAAACAGAAACAAAGGGGGTGCAGCGTCCTTGGCTCCCGAAGTTAAGAAACTACATCGGGGCCCGCGCCCCCCCCAACCCTCCCACACAACCATGTTTTCTTGTTTTCTTTGCCGAGTACCAGACGTGAAAAAAGCCTCAACCACCCTAAGGTTTAGGGCTTTAGGGCTCTCTAAGCCTAACCTACTGGCAAGGCACCTTAAACCCCCCTAAACCCCCCAAACCTCTAAAGCCCCCTAAACCCCCTAAACCCCTAACTCCCCAAGCCTAATCCCTAAACCCTAAACCCTAAACCCTAAACCCCAAACCCCAAACCCCAAACCCCAAACCCTAAACCCTAAGCCCTAAACCCTAAACCCTAAACCCTAAACCCTAAACCCTAAACCCTAAACCCTAAACCGATAGATGAGGATGCCCGCCCTGGACATCACAGCCTGCAAGCAGCTCTGCAGGGCGGGCGGGCCCGGCCTTGCCACCTGAAGGGTTTTAGTTGGTTCTTCTTTTTTTTTTTCGCTGGGGGGGGGGGGGGGAGGAGGTTAGGGTTTAGGGCTTAGGGCTTAGGGCTTAGGGTTTTGGGTTTTGGGTTTAGGGTTTCGGGTTTGGGGTTTGGGGTTTAGGGTGTTAGGTGTTTTTTTTGGAGGGGGGGGGGGTTCGGGTTTACAAGGTTTAGGCTTTTACGGTTTTGAGGTTAAGTGATTTGGGGTTGTAAGGCTAGCGTGTTTGTCAGGGCGCGCTGGGGGTGTGACCTCTAGGATCAGATTTTCCCCCATCCACAGGGTCCCCCAGCAACCTCTCTCGCCTCCTTCTTTCCTTTCTTAGTATCGGGCCCCTCTAAATACCCCCACTAAACCACCACCAAGGTCCTAAACCCTAAACCCTGAACCCTGAACCCTGAACCCTAAACCCTAAACCCTAAACCCTCAGGGCGTTGCGGAATAACCCAACTTGAGGCTCCCTGAAACCTAGGCCCCCCGGGGCCTTGCAACAGAAACCCTAAAATGCAGGGGGTGCCAATGTACTAGGGTCATAATCAGCATAGGGCGTGTGACACCTACTCTGGGCCCTTAATTGACGGGATATGAGGAGGGGACCTAGAAGGGACCTTTAATCTTAATCCCCTCAAAAACAAAAAAACCAAACCGGTACGGCGGGCTCTCCCCCGCCCCCCCCCCCCCCCCCCAGTTCCCGCTCCCTTTCCCATGCTCCCCCCCCCCCCCCCTGTGGTGTGATTGTGGGTTGGTGGGGGTTTTAGGGTTTTAGGGTTTCGGGTTTAGAGCTAGGGTTTAGGGTTTAGGGTTTGTCCCCTGTGGTGTGGTTGTGGGTTGATTTTGGGGTTTAGGGTTTTAGGGTTTGCGGTTTAGGGTTTACAGTTTAGGGTTGGGTTTAGGGTTTGGGGTTTGGGGTTTGGGGTTTGGGGTTTGGGGTTTAGGGTTTAGGGGCCTGGGGGGGGGGGGGGGGGGGGGGTACCCGGGGGGGGGGGGGGGGGGCGAACCGAGAGCCGGGATCATATGAAAACATATATATATATATCTATATATATATATGCTCACCCCCCTCCCCAATGGACCAACCGCGAAATGAAAAGGACAGGAAAAACTACTTGTTTTTGTCGTGCTTTGTGTTTGTTTTTGCGTGTTTTGCCTTCTTTCTTGTGCTTTTTTGTGCTTTTTGTGCATTGTTGCACTTTTCTTGCATTTTTCACTTTGGCACTTGCTTTTGTTTTTTTGCACTTTTGCACTTTTTTTTGGCTTTTTACACTTTTTTGGCTTTTCGCACTTTTGCACTTTTTTTGTTTTTTTTGGCATTCTTTTCATATACTGTGCTTTGTTTCTATGCTTGTCTTATGCATAGAAATCTAAAAATCCAAAAATCCAAAGTTCTCCGGACAATCTCCCAGGAAACTTTGGGTTTTTGGATTTTGGGATTTTGGGGTTTTTGGATTTTTAGATTTTGGATTTTTGGATGTTTGGCTTTTGATGATTTTTATGATTTTTCGCATTCGAGGTTGGCTCATATTCGTTCTCCTTTTTTTGAGTGAAAGAAGGGCGACCATTCAAATGTACCTTTATAAGAATTTCAAATGTGCCCTACTCGAAACGTGAACAGCACAACTAAATAGCATATTCAATAAGATTTTGAATATGCTGTTTCTGTATATGAGGACCAGGTAAAGTCTTGCCTATTCAAATCACTGAGAAAAGCACGTACATGCTTTATGCACAGGCCTTTGCCAAGGAGGCTGTAACAGAGAAGGCCTATATGTGCAAATATCGAATTTTGTGCATTTGAAAGAAGCTCAAATATCCTTTTTTTCAATAGGAACCATTCTGGGATCACAGTATCTGCTGTTCAAGAAAAAGTCTATATCTCATGAACACCCTTACTTTGCGATAACGATTTAGTTTTTCTAATCCTTTAATTCAAGCTCTTAATATTGCATTGCCCCCCTGTGATTATTACAGTAAAGCCTGCTCGAATCTCATTAACGTCTTAACTACTCGATTGAAAGCTGTATCAATACAAAATCCCCCCTAAGTAGCCTGTTCAAAAAGCCAATAAGGTTTTGGAAAGCCAACAGGAGGTTGAACAGAAGAATTCAGGACAGTAATAGGGCTTGGGTCCAATACAGGGCTAGTGAACGGGTTTAGGGTTTAGGTACAGGGCTAGTGAACTGTCCACTCTAAGACTTCCCCTGGTGAAGTGAAGTGTCCATTCCGGGTAGCACAGTTCACGTACTGGTACAAGAACCAGAACATGTGGACAGTCACGGAGAGAATGCTGCGCGCTTTGTTTGATGAGTAGGGTTGAGAAGGCACGCCACTCATCGGTCAGTCTCGCTGCAAAGCAGAAACTCACCGACCTCCAAATTTTGTATGCAGATCCTGCGACCAGAGGCCACACCGCGAAAGTGCAAGGGTGCCAGAATGCCTGCACGGGTTTTGAGTAGTGGCAGCTATATAAGCATCCCAAAAGCAAAGAAAGCCCAAAATCCAAAATCCAAAAAAGCCAAAAATCCAAAAAGCCAAAATTCCAAAATTCCAAAAATCCAAAAATCCAAAAATCCAAAAATCCAAAAATCCAAAAATCCAAAAATCCAAAAAGCCAAAAAGCCAAAAATCCAAAAAGCCAAAATTCCAAAAATCCAAAAATCCAAAAATCCAAAAATCCAAAAATCCAAAAATCCAAGAATCCAAAAATCCAAAAATCCAAAAATCCAAAATCCAAAAATCCAAAAATCCAAAAATCCAAAAACCCAAAAACCCAAAAATCCCAAACTCCAAAAATCCCAAAATCCAAAAATCCAAAAATCCAAAAAATCCAAAATTTCCTGGGGGATTGTCCGGAGAACTTTGGATTTTGGGATTTTGGGATTTTGGGATTTCTGGATTTTGGGATTTTGGGATTTTTGGACTTTTGGATTTTGGGGTTTTTGGATTTTTGGATTTTTGGATTGGAAAAGAGGAAAACATTTGCAAAAATATTGCGAAATTAGAAAGCACAAAAAAGTGCAAAACAACATGTAACAAGTGCAAAAAGTGCAACAAAGTGCAACAAGTGCAAAGAGTGCAAAACGTGAAAAAAAACGAAAAAACGCACAAAAGAACACAATACAACACAAAAAAACACGAACAAAAAGCACAAAAAATGCACAGGAAGCGCAAAAGGCACAAAGAAGTGGACAGGGAAAGCATGGCAGGGTACAGTGTCTCGAGAACCTTGGACATGTCGATGTGGGTCCATTGGGGTCGGAGGTTGGTCCATTGGGGGGGGGGGGGGGGGGGGGCGACCATATATATATATATATATACAACACAATACACCTTACATACTTCCTAGTATAAGTAGCCCATAATGGGCCCAACCTAAGGTCCCTTGTTAGGATCCATGCTTTCGTCCCTTGAGAATGGGGGGGCCCCTTTGCATACGGCTTATGTTACGCTATGAAACCCAATGGCCCATACTTCCCATACCTCAGAGCCCTTTAAAGAAGGTAAGGGTCCATATTAGGGGACCATGTACTTTTAAACCCTAAACCCTAAACCCCAAACCCCAAACCCCAAAACCCTAAACCCTAAACTCTAAACCCTAAACCCTGAACCCTGATCCCTGAACCGACTGTTCAACCGAAGGCTGGGACGGGCTCTGGCGCCTACGGGGCCTTCGTGGTGCAAGGAGGCGCCGGTTCAGCCAGGATTTTGGAGCCCTAAACCCTAAACCCTAAACCCTAAACCCTAAACCCTAAACCCTAAACCCTAAAGCCGAACCCCTAAGCCCTTAGCCCTGAGCCCGGGGTCAAGGTGATGTCAGAGCCCCGCAGTGAAGTTCTTGCCTAAACCATTTCCCTTTTTGGGGGGTTTAGGTTCCCTTAGAAACCCCTTTAAGCAAAAAAGGGCACCCTGTTCAAGCCTTGGTTAGTGGGCAACCTAGTGTCTACCATCTGCTTAAGAAGCCCTCAAAGAGTCAAAACATGTTCTTCCTTATAGGGCAGTATATAGGGTTTTCTTATCTTTGTGTTTTTTGGTTGGGTTTAGGGTTTAGGGTTTAGGGCCTGGGGTTTAGGGTTTAGGGTTCAGGGTTTAGGGTTTAGGGTTCAAACCCCGAGAGTGCAGCAACACTCATCCACGGCTCCGATGCATCTTTTGATGGGTCGATGAGGCCTAGCTGCTGGGTGAGCATGCTGCGCATAGGGCATAGGGTTTAGGGTTTAGGGTTTAGCGTTTAGGGCTTAGGGCTTAGGGCTTAGGGTTTAGGGTTTAGGGTTTAGGGCTTAGTGTATTGCAGGCTGGGAAACAAGCTAAGCTCTGAACAGGCTATGCCTTCTTCCGCCAGCAGCCGGTTGGCCAGTGCTGCCACCTCAGATGTGCTTGCGGTGCTTTTTAGGAGAACGCGCCCAAAGCACCCAATGATGGCACTGCACTTAGGGTTTAGGGTTTAGGGTTTAGGGTTTAGAGTTAAGTTTCGCCAGATGCAGAGCCCTTCGCCATTTGTCAGCCTGGCCTCTTGCTAAGATGCCCCGAGACCGAGCACGCGCCACAAAACGCCAAAGAGACTTCATGAAAAGTTTAGAGCCTTACGGGGTTTGTAGAATTTGTCTGAAGAGGTGCATGATCACGGTACCCTACCAACAGTCTGTCCCTGCAAACAAAACTGGACATCGCGCCGTCAGAACCCGTCTTGGCAGAAGACTCTGGAGTTTACGGTTTACAAAAACCCTAAACCCTCAGGCCTCTGTAACTTGAAATTATGAAAACCGAAACTCCTCGAAATTTTCCCCGGACCTGAACCCTTCATAATTTCAACAAACCCTAAAGCCTAAGCCTGACAGACCAAGGCCGACAGCAGCTGAGGGACGAGCCCAACGCCACGACCTACCTCAACTCCTCCCTTGAGGTGGGCTTCATAGGCTTGGTAGCTGAGCTTCTGAGGGTTTAAGGTATAGGGTTTAGGGTTTTAGGGCTTTAGGGTTTTAGGGTTTAGGGTTTAGGGTTTAGGGGTGGGTTTTGTAGGGTTCCTTGCCTTCACCCGGAACCGCCCGGAACAACGCTGAACCATTTACCCTCTCCAGGATGCCAGAAGGGTCTTGCAGGTTTCGGGTTTCTTGGTGTTTTTACCGGCTTGGGTTTCGTGTTGTAGGAGTTCGAAGGTCGCGATGCTGTGAAGCTGCCAAAGCCCCTAAACCCTAAACCCAGACGCCTCCAATATGGGATTTAGGGCTTGTGGTTCAGTTTGCCGCTCCTTTCGCCCGCCCTTGAAAGGATAAGGGTGTAGGGTTTATAAGGGCTAAGTTCAAGCACAAGGGTTTCAGCATCGTTATACGGCATAGCTTATGCCCAACTACTTTTTGCGTAAGCACCCCCCCCAAAAAAATCTTCCATAACAGGCTAATAAGTATGTTTTTGGGTGGGGGGTTTCTTAAGCAAACAGTAGTAAAGGTTTAGGGCCTAAATTGAAGCAGGCATCGCGGCAAGGCCCTAACGCCCACAGAGCTGCACAATCGATCAACCACTGCATGAGAATCAATCTATGGCAGACATGTAGGTATTGCATAATGAACGTGTACATATATATATATATGTATATATATATATAACACACACACATGCTCACTCACATTCACAGTGGCATTCAACTGGACGTATACACAGATAGACGTATGCGTATACATGTATACATATTCGCATGCATTTACACATACATATATACATAACTATACACATACATATATAATTACATACATGTTCACATACAGTACACGTTTACATCTTTTTCACAACCTCGCGGGCCCATGCGCAACTGAACCTTCCAACCCTGAGCCGTCAATGCCCTTCGAGGCGGCGGCCCTGTGCGCAGATATCCGCAAGGCAGTTGGGCCCTCAGCAGGTTTGGGCTTGTCAAGTTTAGGGTTTCTAGGGTTTAGGGATGTCTAGGGTTTAGGGTATTCCCCACTACTTTATTTCTTGGAATCTGTTTAAACAAATCAATAAATAGTATATATACATATATATGTATATGTGTATGTATATGTACATGTACATGTACATGTACATGTACATGTATATGTATATGTATGTGGTATGTATATGTATATGTATATGTATATGTATATGTATATGTATATGTATATGTATATGTATATGTATATGTATATGTATATGTATATGTTTTCTTTTGGGAGGGGAGGGCAGTTGTTTCGCAGGCTAAAGGCTTGAACGGTTTGAAGTAATTTACTACCCAGTGTCTTGCATCTCATATAGCTTCTAGTGTTGTGTTATGCTCTTCCGATTCCTCCCACTACTTTTCGTAACTGTCCTGCCACTGCCGCTACCTATTCCTTGCAAAAGAACGCAAAGACTTGTCAACTGCTTGGTGTATATTGCTTAGCTCACGATCAATATGGCTGCCATTGGAAGGGTTTAGGGTTTAGGGTTTAGGGTTTAGGGTTTAGGGTTTAGGGTTTAGGGGCTGCGCCAGTGCCCCCAACCGCGGTACCCTGGCAAGGGTTTGGTGTAGTGGTGTTCGTAGGCCCGTCACATGGTAGGCTGCTGAAACGAGTGAGATGCTTTGGCACATGGACGAAGACCAAAAAAAACCACAGACCTAGTGTGACCTAACCCTTAACCCCAAATTCCTGCGCGCCTGTGGGAGAGCCTTGCACGTGTAGTCAGAGCACAGCACCCCGGATTCTGGGGGGGGGGGGGGGTTCAACTGGCGGCTAAGGGGTCTGCAGGCGTTTAGTCGTAGCACCAGGAGTCTCGATTTAAGAGATTGTGTCAGCTGTTTATGTTGCGGCTATCATCACAAGCTTAGGCTGTTGTTTCTTTGTCTTTTCAGAGTTTGTTTTGACGCGGCGCGCACAGCACAAGAATCAGCATGTTTGGATTAAGGTTGAGGGTCCAAAGAGCATGTTTTGTAGGGTTCGGAAGCAACCACGCCACTGTTTCTAGCAACAGCAAACCCTAAACCCAAAACCCTAAACACGTGCAGGTTCAGCTGTAATGAGAGACCGGAAGCTTGAGTTCAGGTCGCACGGCGTCAAGAGCTCCGAAAGCAGGACGGCTTTGACGATATGTAGCAATGTTAGGGTTTAGGGTTTCGGGTTAGGGTATAGGGTGTAGGGTTTAGGGTTTAGGGTTTAGGGTTTGAGCCGGGAGGGGTGAGGGATTACCCAGAGAGGGTTTTGAGAATGGGAGACATAAGGCTGCACCCTAAACCCGAAACCCTAAATCCTAAAGAAAAGGAGGCTTGGCTGAATCTCCTGCCGCAGGAAGAAGTGACCTTGGATGGTAGATGAACGGGGGCATGCCTAGCTCACTCGCATGGGCACCTTTTGGGGTTTAGGGTTTAGGGTTTAGTTTAGGGTTTAGGGTTTAGGGTTTAGGGATGTAGGGTTTAGTGCAAAATTGTACCGCCTAATCTAGGTCATGCAGTTGTATAGTGTACAGTGTATATATGCCGATGCATCTAACTCTCAAGATTCCCAGTTGAGCATAGAAAAGAGATTTTCATGGTAGCGTGGAGCCATAGCGAAAAGGGGCACACAAGGAAAGTCACTGGGAAAGGAGGAAAGGGCAGGAGTACAAAGCCCCGGAAGAAGGGCGCAGGAGCGCTGAGGCGCTGGAACGGCGCAAGGGCCGCAAAGTGTGGGCTGCTGACAAGGGGCTACCAGGTTCGCGTAGGCTGGACCAGACACCAGCTGAACCTGAGGGTCCGCCGCCGTGGAAGCGGCAGTGCGTGCCAGGCACACCGCCTGAGGCCTTCGACGTGAACTACGTGAAGCCCCCTCAAACACCCCCGGAGGGTAGAACTATAGAGGGGACCTCTCCGGGAACACCGGAAGAAGCGTTCAAGGATCAGGGGTTGGAGCAGCCGAAGACGCCAAGCATTGTCCTTACGCCTGAGGAGGAACCTTCAAGTGATAGCTCCTTGCTGTCGGTGGTGCCAAGGGACAGGGCCGAGCCGAAAGCGAGGTCAAGAAGCCGGTCTAGGTCGAGCTGCAGCTCGGCTCCCCGTGAAGGGGAAGAGTCGGTGCCATCCGCACCATCGGTGCCTGTGAGAAGAGAGGCTAGGGTAGCAGCTATCTTGGCAGCAGGTGCGGCGGAGGCTCGCGCGAAGGCAAAGGCCAGAGCGGCAGGTACAGCTATCTATCGCCGCCGCAACCGTGGGTTGGTGATTGTTCCTGAGCCTGCAGTGCAACCAGAGGCGGCAGTACCTACCATCGCCGCGCTTGAGGCAGCGCCCAAAGCAGAGCCCAAGTCGAAAGGTAAGCAAAAGGGAAAAGGCCGAGGCTTGGGTGTTTGGACCGCTGCAGAGGAGGACCGGCGGGTGCGAGAAGGGTGGACACACAAGGCGTCCTTGGACACGCGACTCCAGCACCTGGCGTTGAGGCAGTACTGGGCTGGAATAGACGCCGGTAAGCCTGAGACCCGGAAGGGAGGAGCACCCTTGACCCCAACAACGAACTACCAGATTCGAAGGTTGGCGTTTGGCTGGATCACCAAGGTAACCGCGGGATCTGTTGGGTTGTCCTTGCAAAGGGCGCTTGCAGGCCGAGCCGCGAGCGGCACGGCAGGTGGAGCCTGCAGCAGCTGCGACGAGCGGGAGTTGCGTGCGAGAAGAGCAGCCGTAGCATTCACAACCAGGGTCGAGGCTAAGGCCAAACCCAACTTTGTGTATAGAAGGCCCTCAGGACAGTTGAGGAGCAGCTCTGAGGAGGAAGGCTCCGAGGAGTGCGAGGGAGAGGCCGAGTGATCGGCCCTTCTTCGAGAAGAGAAACGCATTTTTGAACGCCGCTGCCCGAGAGAGAAAAAGGGGAAGGGTAGGCGGCAGGGTTTGAGTTTAGCCTAGACCAAATAGGGTTCTTTTCCGTCGTTGACGTAGAAAACACAAGATGGACGCAACACAGGTGCAACAGCTACAGCAGACAATCGCAGCAATGCAGGCAGAGATAACGGCGCTAAGGGCACAGCAACAACAGGCAGAACAGGGGCAAGCAGGAGTAGCAGCCCTAGCTCAGTCTGTAGCAGAGCTAGCCCAAACGATGAGGGTTAGGGAAAAGGGACCTGACTCCACAAGAATTCTGTTCGATACCAAAGCCCTAGGTAGACCCGAGCGGTTCAACAATGTGGGGTCCAGACTGGTCGTGAAAGACATCAAGGCCAGGAAGGGCCCCGAGGACCAGCTAGACCCAGCGATGTTGTTTTCGGCTATGCCCCCGCTAGAAGCGGTGCGCATTCTTACGTCCATGCTTATGAGCAAACAACGCTCGAAGCACGGGAGGCCGTTACGACTTGGGAGCTGGGACATCTCAAGAGCCCATTTCTATGGGACTCCAAAGAGAAACATTTATGTGAAGCTCCCAGAGGAAGAGGGAGCAGGAGAAGGAGAGTGTGGACTGCTATTGAAGTCAATGTACGGAACGCAAGACGTGCCAGCGATATGGCAGGACCACTACACTCAAACTCTGATTCAAGCAGGATGGAAGAGAGGAAGAAGCAATGGTGCAGTCTTCTATCACCCAGTGCTGGATGCCCGTGTCTTAGTACACGGAGACGACTTTCTGTGCTTGGGTGACGAAGCAGCGCAGGAAGCACTAGACAAGACACTCCGAGAAGCCTACGAGCTGAAGCGCACAGGAGAGGTAGGAATCGGAGTTGCAGGAAGCAACCAGATCACTTTCCTCAATCGGGTGATACGGTTGGAGCAACACAGTGGGAGACCCTGCGCCGTGATTGAAGCAGACTCGCGGCATGCAGAACTCCTCATCGAGGAGCTGGGTCTGAACAATGGTAAGGGCGTAGAGACAGCGGATGTTAAGAAGTCTGTGGATCAACAATTGCTGGAAGCTAAGGCAGCTGCACTTCCACCAGAGATGGTGAAGCAGTATAGGTCCTTGGTGATGCGCGCAGCATACTTGGCACAAGATCGTGCAGACATAGGCCATGCGGTCAAGACACTGTCAAGAAAGATGGTAATGCCGACAGACGCTGACTGGGGCAACCTGAAGCGGTTGGCTCGTTATCTCAAGCAGTACCCGTATGCGAAGTTGGTTTATGAACAACAGCGAGAACCAACCAAGCTCCGTATCCAAGTAGATGCGGACCATGCAGGTGACGCCGTTACGAGACGGAGCACCACGGGTATGATCGCGTTCTATGGCCAGCATCCCATAAAGCACTCGTCAAACGTGCAGTCGACGATTGCCCTATCGACAGGGGAGTCAGAATACTACGCCTTAGTGAAGGCAGGTTCGACTGGACTTGGGATCCAGTCCCTGTTAGAAGATTGGAGCTGCGAGCTGGAGGTTGTCTTGGAGACGGACTCCAACGCAGCCAAAGGCCAAGGGAGCCGGATAGGCCTGGGAAAAGCTCGCCACGTACAAACAAGGTACTTGTGGTTGCAAGAACGCGTGGCAGCAGACCACTTGAGGATCCATAAAGTGCTTGGGGAGAAGAACTGTTCAGATATCCTCACGAAGAGCGTAGGAGGACCAACGCTGAGGAAGCATCTGAAGACACTCGGTGTTCAACTGAGCTCTGAAAAGAGCCGCGGGCACAAGGAACTCCTCTTGTAAAGGTCCCTGGCCAGACTCCGCTACCTAGGCGTGAGAATGAGCCCAATACCAGAGAAGTTTCACTCCGCACATAGCAGAAGAGAAAGTATAGTGCTTAGAAGGCATTTCTGCGCACTAGAAGGGGTGCAAAATTGTACCGCCTAATCTAGGTCATGCAGTTGTATAGTGTACAGTGTATATATGCCGATGCATCTAACTCTCAAGATTCCCAGTTGAGCATAGAAAAGAGATTTTCATTTAGGGTTCAGGGTTCAGGGTCAAAAGCCCTCAAACCCTAAAGCCCCAAAATCCCTAAACTAAAGCCCCAAGATCCCTCAACCCCACAGCCCTCAAAACCCTAAAGCCCCCAAACCCCGAAAACATCATACCCCCCCAAGCCCTAAAAACCCAAGAGCCCCCAAGAACCCAAGAGCCCCCAAAGCCCCTAAACCTCAAAACTGGAAACCTTAAACCCTAAACCTTGAAACCGTGAACCCCAAAGGCTCTTACAGAAACAAAAACAAACCCTTAAATACCTCAAGCCCGGAACTGCAAGCCCAACGATCCTAAAGGCCCAGAAGCCTCAATTCGGCCCTCAACCCTAAACCCGAAACCCTGAACCCCCTAAACCATAAACCCCCTAAACCCTAAACCGTAAACCCTAAACCCTAAACCCCCCAAAATCTAAACCCTAAGCCCCGGGACCCCACACTCCCCAGCCGCAGGACCGACGCGGCGAGGCAGGGCGACTGCTTAGGGATTTAGGATGGTAGGGTTTAGGGCTTCGGGTTTAGGATTGTAGGGTTTAGGGCTTAGGGTTTAGATTTGGCTTCGGGCTTAGATTTAGAGTTCAGGTTGTAGGGTTTAGGATTAGGGTTTAGGGTTTAGGGTTTATGGAAATTGTACAGGGTTTGGGTCCCAATAAGTTCTGACCGAAAGTCTTGACCGAAGAGTTCTGACCGAAGCGTTTTCACCGAACCGTTCTGACCGAAACGTTTTGGGGTTTAGGGTTTAGGGTTAGAGTTTAGGGTTTAGGGTTTAGGGTTCAGGGTTCAGGGTTTAGAGTCTAGAGTTTAGGGTTTAGGGTTTAGGGTTTAGGGTTTCGCCACGCGAGGCTGCCCCTGCGGCCAACTCGGCGCCGATGGTGGAGACCTGGCCGGAAGCCCGAAGAGTCGAGGGTTTACATGGAGGTTCATGATACGTATCGTTTAGGGTTTAGGGTTTAGGGTTTAGGGTTTAGGGTAAACTTTAGTGTTTCGTGTTTAGGGTTTAGGGTTTAGGGTTTAGGGTTTAGTCAAAGGAAGCTTCCGGAGCCCTTAAAAAGCGTGCCCCTATCACATAAGATCGGGTCCCTTGGGTAAGGAGAGTATGTAAGTTTAGGTGTTTTTCAAGGAGAGGCTATGTAAGATCAGGTCGTGTGGGTAAGGAGAGTACGTAACCTTTGGTGTTTTTCAGGGAGAGGCTAAGAGCAGGCTGCCTGACTTCTAAGTTCTGGTGTTTTTTGGCAGATGCTGCATGGGTCTCCTGCACAGGTTTGTGCGGGCTTCAACACGGGCCTCCTACGGGGACCCTTGGCAACTTGCGGGCTGCTTACGTGCCACTTACGTGCCACTTACCACTTACGCGCCACTTACGGCCACTTACGTGCCGCTTACATGCCACTTACATGCCGCTTACGTGCCGCTCAGGCCCCTTGCGAACTTACGGGCCCCTCATGGGCCTTCGCGCCACTTACAAGCCTAGATAGAGCCATTCACGAGCCACTTACGGGCCTCTGGCTGCTTCGAGCCTTCTGCGGGCCTGGTCTTGGAGTTCGAGCGACGAGAGCTTGCGTGACGAATGCTGCGCCCGTTCGACTGACAAAAAAACGGGGCCCTGACTAACCCTGGATCGGGTTGAATTCTCACGAGAGCTTACTCAAAGACAGGGTCGACGCAAAAACATGCTTACACAGGATAGCCAAGCCTCAGCCCTTTTTGACCTTACAAGCTTCTCATTTGCTCTTCCCCGAGACATCCCCTCACATGTGCCTCACATGCCACTCACCAGCCACTCACCGACCCAACCGCAACCTCTTATATGATAGGGGCACGCTTTTTATAGGCTCCTTATTCTTCCTTTGATTTAGGGTTTAGAGGTATCAATTCCAAATATAACTGTACTAGTAACCCCAATTAGAACCCTATGAGGGCACTTAAGGGGCTTGGTGAATAAGTACCATGAACCTCCAAGTAGGGGGTCTAGGGGTTTAGGGTTCTATAGAGGTTTAGAGTCTAGGGTTCAGAGGTTGGGTGCAAAGCGGTAAGCGTCGTGGTGTGCAAGAGGTGTGGGATCCCTAAACCCTAAACCCTAAACCCTAAACCCTAAACCCTAAACCCTAAACCCTAAACCCTAAACCCTAAACCCTAAACCCTAAACCCTAAACCCTAAACCCTAAACCCTAAACCCTAAACCCTAAACCCAAGGGGTGTGGGACCAAGTTTGGGATCAAAGGCTTGAGTTTCGCGATGAGGGTGTACGAGGTTGAGGAGTCAGGGCGTTTGGTGTGAAGGGCTTAGGGTTTCGGGTGTAAGGGGCTAAGGGTGTCAGGGCTCAAGAGACTTCAGACTTTAGGCTTTATAGGGGCTTCAGGGTTTAGAGCTTTAGGTGTTTGCAGAGTTTAGGGTTTAATCACAGTGTCCCGTTGGGGGTTACATGGCTCAAGTGTAGGTACGGCGGGGTGGGCTTCGCAAGGATCCCTGAACATGAAATGCACCTAGGGCGAACAATATGCCCTCAACAAAAGGTGAATATCCACGAGAATGGAGGACATTTCCTAATCCCTAAATCCTAAATCCTAAACCCTACACCCCCAAACCCTAATGCTGGGCCCTGAACCCAAAGCCAGGACCGGGAAGGCACAAACTCCCCGATGCTGTTAGCACAGTGAACCTCAAATACCTCAAACACCAAAGCCTCTAAACCCAAAACCCTACACCCTAAACCCTAAACCTTAAACCCCAAACCCCAAGCCCTAAACCCTAAAGCCCAAACCCTAAACCCTAAACCCTAAACCCTAAACCCTAAACCCTAAACCCTAAACCCTAAACCCTAAACCCTAAACCCTAAACCCTAAACCCTAAACCCTAAACCCTAAACCCTAAACCTAAACCCTACACCCTAAACCCTCAACCCTAAACCCTAAACCTAGGGATTTTCGGATTCGCTCCTCGTTCTTGGCGATTGCCAGGCGATCCCTTGAGGCAGAGCTACGCCGGAAGTCGACACACAGCTTGGAGCTGCACAGGCAGGGTTTAGGGTTTAGGGTTTAGGGTTTAGGGTTTAGGGTTTAGGGTTTAGGGTTTAGGGTTTAGGGTTTAGGGTTTAGGGTTTAGGGTTTAGGTTCCAGGGTCTAGGGTCTAGGGTTTAGGGTTTAGGGTTTAGGGTTTAGGGTCTAGGGTCTAGGGTCTAGGGTCTAGGGTCTAGGGTCTAGGGTCTAGGGCCTAGGGCCTAGGGTTCAGGGTTTAGGGTTTAGGGCTTGGGTTTATAGGGTTTAGGGTTTGGTGTCTAGGGTTTGGGGTCCAAGAGTCAGGGCAAAGAAGGTGGAAGCTAGGTAGCATGTTGGGACCTTGTCTATGTTCCCATGCCGGGCTTGAGAGGCCTAGGAAGGTTAAGAGTTCTTTGGGGTTCGGGGGGATGCAGGGTTGAGAGTTTAGGACTTAAGTTTGAGTTTCTGGGCTCTGGGCTGAGGGCTTTGAGAGTTTCAGGTCTAAGAGTTCAAGGTTCGCAGTTCAACGTAGAGCATGTCGGTGTTGTAGGCCTCTCCGCTGACCGCTGTCCGAGCTGCCCTAGCTCCAAAACACAACTCAGGGTCAGGGCCCAACGCATCCTCGTCCTGGGCCTACACGTTGCACACTAGGGTTTTGGCCCTTAATTCTATAAACCTTAAATCCCTGTATGAATATGAGCCCTAAACCCCAAAGCCCTAAACCCCAAATTAGCTCGAAACAGCAGCTCAGACTCTTACTGTAGGGCTAGGGCACTGGAGCCTTTTCCACTGTAAGGGCTTTTCGGACTTTAGTGGTTAGGGTCAGTAGGGCTTCTCGGGGTCAGGCTGATGAGGGTGTTTCGGGTTGAGGTCGTCGTCCTTATTCTGGCATGTAGAGGCCCTAAACCCTAAACCCTAAACCCTAAACCCTAAACCCTGAACCCTGAACCCTGAACCCTGAACCCTGAACCCTAAACCCTAACCCTAAACCCTAAACCCTAAACCCTAAACCCTAAACCCTAAACCCTAAACCCTAAACCCTAAACCCTAAACCCTAAACCCTAAACCCTAAACCCTAAACCCTAAACCCTAAACCCTACCTTCCGCAGGCGTAAGTCAGATACGGCCCTGGCAGGCATCCAGCCTCCCACTAAGCCAGGATTGGGAGGCTTCTTTGTAGTCCCCAGAGTTCCTAAACCCCAGAAACCCTATCAACCCTATACACCCTATAAAGCCTATGAACCCTATACACCCTACAAAAGCCTATGAACCCTATACACCCTATAAACCCCGTGGAACCCTATAAACCCTATAAACAAGAAAATCGCCTCCCCTGGGTGCCCGTAGATTTAAATGCTCCCTGTAAGTGCAAAGAGTGATAACTGCCTGCCCCCCCCCCCCCCCCCCCCCCCCCCCCCCCCCTGTATTCTGGAGGACACCGCAGTTCTGAAAAAAAATGCCCCAAACCCTAAACCCCAAACAAACGCCAAACCCCAAGCCCCAAGCCCCAAGCCCCAAGCCCCAAACCCTAAACCCTAAACCCTAAACCCTACCTCCCTAAACCTGCAGTCCCATATCCTGGAGCCTACCGCCTCCCATGCGACCTCGGCAGGCGCGTGCATGACCTGGAGGAAGAGCTGCAAAAGCAGCTTCAGGCTCTCAGGGTTTAAAGGTTTAAAGTTTAAAGTTTACAGGGTTTAGGGTTTAAAGTTTAGGGTTGAGGGTGTAAGGTTTATAGAAATAGTTTTAGAAGGTAGAGCTCTAAGCCCATGTGCTTCTGTAATTACGGGCTCACCAAAAGAAAGCTCTATAAAATGAACGAAACAAGAGAGTGAGCGAAATGAGCGCGTGTTCGTGCATTTCATAGGGGCGGTCCGTTCATCTCTTTCCTTGCTTATTGTAACCGCCCCAGAAAGTCCGAATGAATATCCTGAGCAGCAAACGGCCGCGTCAATAGTATTATTTCAAGGGGCTTATTGTGTACAGCATTACGAGCGCCAAATGGGTTTTTACTGCGCTCATCCGAATACTAATTAGAGGCCAAAACACAGTTCTTTTCACTGGTGCCTATATATCTCTGCGAAGTGGGTTCTTTACTACGTGGGGAAAAACCTAAAGGACTGCAGAAGATTTATATTAAAAGGTAGAGAGCGTAGTGATGCACGCTTTTAATAATGATAGTCATAATAATAATAATGATGATTCAGGCTGTCGAGGGGCACGCCTTTTGCCAGGCATGAAATCAACTCACGAATGAACGCAAGAAATTCACAAGCACCTTAAAATAGAAAGTTCTGAATGGGCATTTGCAAGTTCCTTTTGCGCGTGTAAAATGCCGCATAAACACTATTGTTTTATGAGGTGCTTTTGGGCAGATACAAAGTGAAGAGAGTGAGCGAATTGGTTTTACAAGCGAGTTTACGCACGAATTAACATAATAAGCGCATGAACGAAACAAAAGCCCAAATTCAGTACATGTTCATGCAATCCAAAAGAAAGGAAAGCTATTCCTGATCCAATAGATGACAGGGAATTCCAGGAATTAAAGGAATCTGCAAAGGATGGGATTCTTCTTGGAAATGCATTGGTCAAAGGTAAGAAGACTACCTATAAATATGAATGTAGATGAAAAAGAGAAAGTGTACTAGAGGATGAAAGTAACAAATTCTTTGTCCCAACACACCTTTCTCCGTTAAATGTTTTTCCAGAGAAGATAGAAGTTACAGCTCCTAAAGAAAGAACAAAATGAAAATGTGCTACAGCATAATATGTCATGTGCATCCTAGATCTACTGCAGCATATCCAAGAATTATTACTGTAGATCCACCTATAGTAAACTTGGAATAAAAGAGATGTGAGAAGAAGACAGAGCTAATTCTAAGGTGTGGATTTCCAATGTATGTGAAAAGCCAGTTAAAGATGTTTCCTTTCGTAATTGAGGCGCTTCCATTCGTTGCAGGGGTTTAGGGTAATTCTTAAACCCAAGGGAGTATTATGCATCTTTTTTTTGTTATGATTCTTTGATGAAGGGCCCAGACTTCCTCGATCCCAATACGCCAGCCTAAGCCCTGAAATGTCTCTTGACATTGCACCTTAACCCTGAAAGGGTCCGCTTGCAGTACCATGATGGTCTTCGGATGGTTTAGGTGCCCAGAAACCATACCGAAAGGGAAGCCTCAGTCCGCAACAGTTCTACAAGCAGAGCCTCTTGCTGAGATCCCACGAGCTATTTGGGGTTTAGGGTTTAGGGTTTAGGGTTTAGGGTTTAGGGTTTAGGGTTTAGGGTTTAGGGTTTAGGGTTTAGGGTTTAGGGTTTAGGGCCTGCAGAGGTTGATCCTTTGGGGCTCGGTTAGGAGATTGCTTTTCAGGACTTGTCGGCTGTAGGGCGGACGAGTAACCGCAATGAAAACCAACTCGCACATAGTCGCAGGAACCTCAAAGTGAACAGGCTGCCGTTTAGGGTTTAGGGTTGAGGGTTTAGGGCTTAGGGTTTACGTAGGGTTTAGGGTTTAGGGTTTCGGGTTGAGGGTTTAGGGTTTAGGGTTTAGGGTTGGGGTTCCACAACGCCGGGAGTTGAGGATTTAGGTATTTAGGTTGTAGGGTTTAGGGTTTAGCCTGTCCGGCTGCAGGGGACGGACACCCGCATGGAGCAAGTTCTGTCGGCGGTGCGCTCGGCAGCCATGCATCTGAAATCGGAGGCAGGGTCTCTTACAACATAAGAATTCTTGAGGCGATGCCGGCGTGATCCTCTCAAGTCATCTCTTGCATACGACAGACTTACACCACAGCCGCAGCCTAGAGAGACAAGATACTCGTCTTCTGATGGGAAACACCAAGAGCCTTACGTACTTTGAAGAGCAGCTGAGGATGTGTGAGTTTCCTGGTTCCTTGCATGTTATTATCCTTGATATTGTTAAGATATTGTTATTATATTTGCATACTAGTGATATTTTCTTATGTTCGTTTATGAGTATATATTACTTATATCATTGTGTTGTCATATCAGTATAAGACATTATGTTAATGTAATATTGTATGTTGGGCATCCACATGCAATGCATCTTCAGGGTTCAGGGCTTCAGCTTTCGGCTCTGCGCCGCCCACTAAGTCACAGGGATTGGTTTGGGGTTTAGGGTTTAGGGTTTAGGGTTTAGGGTTTAGGGTTTAGGGATACATATAGATAGGGTGTATGGTTTAGGGATACATATAGGGTTAGGGCTTAGGCTTTACCTGCAGGGCTCAAGGTTTAATGAAGTTCTGGGCTCTCTTGCTTGGGTTGGGGGCCAAAGCCCAAAATCACGCCATATTTGGGGTTTCGCGACAAAACGGGGTACCCTTTGAGGGGGTCCCTTTAATTAAGGGGATTCTATTCTACGTGGGGTATAAAGGGGGAATACCTACTAAACCCTAAACCCGATTGTGAGAGATAGCCCTATAACGCCGCAGACCTTGACAAGCCGCTTCTCGAAATACACGAGGCAGACGACGCTGCATTGCCTCTGGGCTGGGCTGTCGAAGCCAGGCATCTTCTTTACCCCACGTTCACCGACAATGACAAAAAATGCCTGGAACCCTAAACCCTAAACCCTAAACCCTAGACCCTGGACCCTAAACCCTAAACCCTAAACCCACTGGGACCAGACGGAGAATAAGGCCCCGAGGGCGTCTGTGCATCTCGCAGTGTACACAGCCCTCAGGAGGCCCTAATTCGGACTTGCCCAGGCTGTCAAGGCCATGTGGTTTAGGGTTTAGGGTTTAGGGTTTAGGGTTTAGGGTTTAGGGTTTAGGGTTTAGGGCCAAAACAGGTTGACCTTTGAATTATGGTAGGAGTAGTATGCCGCAAAAGGCTAAAGGTCACCTACTCAGCTCCTAAGACTCCAGACCCCAAGACCAAAGGCTCGGAGCCCAAAACCCTACACCACCCAGAAGTTTCAGCAAACCCTAAACCCTAAACCCTAAGACCCTAAAACCCAAAAACCCTAAAACCCTAAAACCCTAAGACCCTAAACCCCCAAAAGGGCCCACTGGCTTGCTGGCAGGCGGCGCGCAACGACAAATGAGGGGAGACCGAATTCGGACTTGCACGTGTACACTATCCTTCGTAGCTTGTTTGCTGAAGCCCCACTGCCTCAGAGGTTTAGGGTTTAGGGTTTGGGGTTTGGGGTTTAGCGCCCAGAGACTCCAACCCTTAATTTAGGAATATACCTTAAATCATATTAGGGTTCCTATCATAATTTAAGGGATCTTCCTTAACTAAGGGGTTTTGGAGTCTCTGGGTGAGCCACGAACCTCAGCAAACTACTTATGGCCCCTTTGAGCTTGGGGTTCCTGTGACAATACAGGGTCCCATAAGTCGTCAGTTGAGTGCCCAGTGTCCAGAAGTCCAAGTGATTTTGAATCTTGGGCTTGGTACATCCGCTTAGGGATTTCAGATGGAAGGTTAGACCGCATGATTCAGAGCAACATTGCTGAACACATCCGCTTTCAAAGTTTTTGGTCTGTTTTAAACCCTAAACCCTAAACCCTAAACCGGCTAGATTCTACCTCGGTCGACAAGCTATGAGAAAACCCTTAATCCCAGAGTAGGCCCAAAAAGCTACATGGGATCTGACACCTAAGCCCCAGACCCCAAACCCTACACCCCCAACCCCAAACCCAAAACCTAGAGACCCCAAGCCCCAAACCCCAAACCCCAAGCACTACTTTACTCTAAACCCTAAACCCTAAATCCCAACCCCTAAACCCCAAACCCTAAACCTTAAACCCTAAACCTTAAACTCCTTTCCATGCCAAGCGTTTCAGAGCCTCCTCTGCGCTTGACGACCACAAAGCTTGCAGCCCGAGGCACAGTGGAAATGGAACCCGGCAGCCTCTGAAAGGTTATGGCCCCCAAGCCTTTTAGGGTTTAGGGTTTAGGGTTTAGGGTTTAGGGTTTAGGGTCTAGGGTCTAGGGTTTAGGGTTTAGGGTTTAGGGTCCACTCCAACTCTACAACTGCGCAGCATGCCTGAACTCCTTAACCGTAAACCCTAAGGAGAACTTTGTGGACAGGGTGGGGTCGTCGGAGTCCACACTGCCCAGAAACCTAAGGGGAATCAAGGAACCTTCTTTGCGTCACGGAAGTGAGAGTTTGAAAAACCCTAAACCCTAAACCCTAAACCCTAAACCCGAAACCCGAAACCCTAAACCCTAAACCTGAACCCTGAACCCTAAACCCTAAACCCTGAACCCTAAACCCTAAACCCTGAACCCAACAAAAATGAGGAGGGTACCTTACCACCGGGGGCGTTCTGGAAGTGAGGACTTCTCTAGATGGAGGTATCCTATACTCCCCCCCCCCCCCCCCCCCAGAAAAGAAGGCAAGTAAGCTTTGCTCAAGGGTTTAGGGTTTAGGGTTTAGGGTTTAGGGTTTAGGGTTTAGGGTTTAGGGTTTAGGGTTAGGGGTTAGATATGGTGCACCAGCATGTGATCCCACAACGACATGATGGCTTCAGCAGCATATAGCCAAAACATCACGTCCAACAGCGTGCGCACACCACCGGCCAGCGCAGAGCTTCTCGAGCATCCTGAGCAACTTAAGCAGGATGGGCGCCACGCAACTTTGCACGTGAAGGTTTTTTAGGGTTTAGGGTTTAGGGTTTAGGGTTTAGGGTTTAGGGTTTAGGGTTTAGGGTTTAGGGCATTCAAGACGGTGCCCCTCGAGCATACCCCTTCACGCTTGCATGGCACACTGGCTCTCCGCTGGTTGCTAAGCCGAGGCCTTTCCGACAACCCCGAGGGTCTATTTTGACCCTGAGACCTCCAGCTTCCCAGGATTCGGGGCGTTTAGGGTTTAGGGTTTAGGGTTCAGGGTTTGGGGTTTAGGGTTTAGGGTTTAGGGTTTAGGGTTTAGGGTACCCCAAAAACGAAGGCCGATGGGCCCCCAACAGATGAAAGGCCGATTGCTTTTCACTATTAAAACCAAATAGTGGGGCCTATTCTTTCTAATCAAAAACATTGTTTTTAATCAAAAACCAAGAGTGGGGGTATTGGGCCCTTAGAGTAAGGTTTGGGGTTTGAGATGTAAATTAGGGCTATAGGGCTCAAGATGTTGGGCGTGGAATGCTTAAGATTCGTCTTGCTCTTGGGGTCGTTGCGGGTTCAAATTCAAGGCTGAGGGTCGAAAACTAAGAACTTCCAGAAACGTTAAGCATCCTTGAGTAGTTTGTAGGGCAGTAAATGCCAATGTTTTGGGCAAGGTCGTCACATGAATGAACATTATTATCCCCTCACCGAGCCTCGTCTGTAGCTGCCAGGATCAAAGCAGGGACGCGTGACGCCAATCGAATTTAGGTTGAAGGTGCCCGGAACAGAGCGAAAATGGCTCTGTGCCAGCGCTGCATCTGCCGTTATTGCCATCGCAATGTTGGTGTGTTTTTTTCTTCGCGGCCTGGGTGTCGCACTGAGGCGCCACGAGCGGACATGCGAGGCCGCGAGGCACTTTGTTAATCACGAAGCAGCAGATCGAGCAGAGGAGAAGGCCGATGCGACATTGGTGGAACCCAATGTGGCGCCACCTCGCGCGGATGTCGTGAAGCAGCCGGATCGGCCAGACAACCTGGACACATGTGGACCGCCCTCCCAGCCCTCGCGGCCTGCCCATCAAGTCTATCTGTATATGTATGATCTTTTTGGCGGGCGGAGCATTGGCCGCATCTTCCTCGGCAAAAAGTTCCAGGCCGTGTGGCACACAAGCATCGTGGTAGAATGGCCAAACAATTGCTGTGAACTCTGGTATGACAACCAGATCTTTGTCTCACCTCCGGGGCAAACTCCGTTTCGTACCCCGGACGAGAAGCGACTGTTGGGGACCACCCCAATGCCTCACGTTACCATGATTGCGTACCTAGAAAGTGTCGACGACGAGTGGACCGGCCACTATGACCTGGCACGGCGCAACTGTGTGCATTTCAGCGACTGGGTGGCACGGAGGCTGCACCTGGCACCGTTGCCAGGTGACCTCGTAGGGCAAGCTGCAGAGGTTATGCAGACACCCATGGCACGCTTCGTCCTTGGTACCCTGCACATGGTGTTGCGGCTGCGAGGTGATGCAGCACGGCTGTGATGTCAAACCATTCTGGCCAAGATGTGTTCTCTGGCTATGTTCAATGGGTTCAAGCGAGAGCAAAAGCTCAGTGACAAAATGTGGCGCTTGGCCTGCCCGGATCCGAGAGACCAAAGAAGTCTCGCGATTCCCAGAAGGGAAGCTACAGCAACCAACATGTTGCCAACAGCCCCAGGAGCCACAGTTTCACCCCTGAAGATGAACTGCGTCGTCAACTGCCACCTAAAGTAGGAGGAGCAGCACTCACGAAAACGGCGCCACATGATGTGAAGCAGTTGGCGGGAGGGGGCTTTTCCCCTTAAATCCGTAGCCCCTAAACCCGAAACCCTTAACTAACCTTTACCCTTACACCCATGTCGAAGTCTTCTGTTGTTTCGGGGTGCGGAAGAGTAGGGTGTATGTGGTTTAGGGTTTGGGGTTGCTACCTTACAAACCCTACAAAAGCTCAACCCAACATAAGCCCCACAAGCCCTCTAAACCCCGAATCACTTAAGTCTGTAAACCGGATAAGCGAGCGCGTAACTCTGTGTATTAAAAAACCGAATCTGAAAGTGCCACATTGATAAACAAAAGATCCCCTGTGAGGACACTGTCGGGTTTCAAACAGATTTTTGTGGGCCTTAGGTTGACGGTTACCCTAAATCCTAACTCCCAAATGCCCTGAAGTGGTTGGAGTTGCGGTTTTGGTTCGGTTTAGCTAAACCCTAAACCCTAAACCCTAAACCCTAAACCCTAAACCCTAAACCCTAAACCCTAAACCCTACATGGGTAGCATGGTCCCGTGCTTCCCATCTAAGGGCAGCGAAGTGGGCCCTCGGTATGGTCCCATACCTCCCTTAACGGGTTCTGAGATATGGGCCCTTGGGTCCTAGGTAGGATAAGAGGGACCCTTAAAAGGGAACCCCTTCTTAACCCTCTTCTGGCTCTCTTAAACAGGGACCTTATTTAGAGGGTCTATATCCCCAAGGGCCCCCCTAATCCTATCCCCGTATTGGGTGGTATAGGGTATGTTAGGGGTTTTGGAGGGGTCGCTTTGTCAGGGCCCATACTAAGGGTTTAGGGTTTGGGGTTTGGGGTTTAGGGTTTAGGGTTTCGGGTTTGGGGTTTAGGGTTTAGGGTTTAGGGTTTGGGGTTTGGGGTTTAGGGTTTGGGGTTTAGGCCGAAGCCTCGCCGGGAAGCGACGCAACCGGCACGACCAGGAACTCCAGAAAATAGCCTGCGAAACTCTTCAGCCCGAATCCCTGCACCCCCTAAACTTTGTGGAGCTTTACTGTGACTTTACATCTTTAGCCTTTTTGGGTTTATTGGGTTTCTTAAGAAGGCAGCTAAAAACTAAATTCATAGCTACCCTGCTAAGAGCAGCCAAGTAAACACTGTACTTTGACCGGGGCCGCAACTTCTTTCTTCCAAAAACCTTAAAACCCTAATCCCTAAGTTTGGTATTTCTGCCACTTTTCGTGTCGCCAGCAAGGGTTTTACAGGCTGGCTGAAGATTTTTTATTTTCCGGAATTCTTTCTCCAATAGGGCTTAGAGTTTAGGGTTTAGGGTGTAGGGCCTGTAGGGTGTAAGGTTTGGAGTTTGGGGGTCGTTGTGTTCTTGGAGGTTCCGGTAAGCCATTAAAGACGCCCAACACCGAAGCCAAATCCCAAACCCTAAACCCCAAACCCTAAACCCTAAACCCTAAACCCCAAACCCCAAACCCTAAACCCTAACTCCCCCAAACCCTAAACCCTAACTCCCCCAAACCCTAAACCCTAAACCCTAAACCCTAAACCCTAAACCCTAAACCCTAAACCCTAAACCCTAAACCCTAAACCCTAAACCCTAAACCCTATCTATCTCCAGGCCTTTGTCATGGTGAAAGCTCCGCGCGACCAGGGCGTGTTTGCGTCGCCAAGCGCAGCCAGGGCCCCAGGGTTTAGGGTTTGGGGTTTAGGGTTTGGGGTTTAGGGTTTAG